TAATCTGATCAAATCCAGAGAAGAATTACTGTATAGAGTATAACGTTAAGCTTGGAACTGAATTCAGAGTAGAAACGTCATGTGACTTTCAAACAGATGCAATTTCATAGCAATTGTTCTATCGTACCTAAGCTTAGAGTTACTTTTGAAAATATAAGTTGCAATCAATCATTTCAAACTAATGATGAAGTAATGGTTTCTTAAATAGCAGCCTCCGGTTACACATTTTTCTTTTTGCTAAGGGGGGGTTTGAAAAGTTAGAAAAAACAATGGAAGTATCATACATTGAAAGAGTAGCTCTCAAACTTAAACTGAATAATATAAATTGGAGACAATATATTAATTATCGTTATTTCCAGAATTCCATTCGACATAACCTTTCGTTGCATTCGCGCTTTATGCGAATTCAGAATGAAGGTGCTGGGAAGTCATCGTGGTGGGTTATCAATCCAGATGCCAAACCTGGTCGAAATCCTAGGCGACAAAGAGCTTCGACTATTGATTCTACTACCAAGGTATGTTTTTTTTATTGAGATATATTGTTTTTATGTATGCTTCGGGTGTGTTTGGTGTGTCAAGTTTGTTGTTTTTCATTGATCTCAAAGTGGAGAACGTTAGGTGTGAGAGAACGTTCAGGCTTAAACTATGTTTTTCCATGCAAACTCAAAATAGCTTATGATGATTCGAGGTGATATAGAGAGGATTGCTGTCATTCTTTTTACGCACTGAATTGTTGCGTTCAGTAGAGGGGGGAACGCTAGAATAAAAGACCACACAGGTTGACGATCAACAAAGCACTCTTCAGATATCTTTAGTTTACACAGCTCTCATTGCGAAGTCTTTTTCTATCTAGCACTGATTTTGTTGCGGAAGAGATAGATCTCATTTCTATTTGTATTTCTTTTTTTTTGCTGAAAGATGTACCGAGTGAAAGGAAAAAAAAAGAAGAAAACAGATTAGAGAGAGGGTGGAAGAGAGCGGTCAAAATGTTCCGTTCTCATGACTGATCTTTAATTTAATTTTTTTCAGCCTGCTTTGGAGAGAAAGTCTAAGGGGGCACGTAAACGCCTGAAGGAAATTGGCCGCTTAGGTGGCATGCCTGCAAGCGGTGTATCTAGTCTGGCCGGATCTCAAGCTTCTGTAATGTCTCATGATATATATGGAGATGAAGACTCTCTACAACCATCATTCGATCCTTTCCGGTATAATAAGGTTTAATTGTTCCTGCAATGATAATATTATTCAGTCCACGAACCCAATCAAATCTTTCTGTACCAGGATCCTCTGCTCGTGTATCTCCCTCAATGGATCATCAAACTTTCGATGACTTTGAGTTCCCCTTATGGGTCGAGAATTCTGTACCTATTCCGAGTGATATATTAGATCGTACTGATCAGATGCGAATTGATAATCGAACGATGATGAACGGAAGTGTGAAGCAAGAAGTGAAACCTCAGCCAATGCCACCAAAGCCGGTTAGTTTCTAAATGGAGTCTCTGATATTTCATTATTTTGTTTCAGGTTGAGAATCAGCCTCCCACTTATCAGGATTTGAATAGCGTTCGAGGTCCTTCCCAACTGCAGAATCCGCTCCTGCGAAGTCACCATGTTTCTTCAAAGTTCCCCCAACAAAAGTATTTACTAAATTTTGGTTCTTATAATAACTGCGTGTTTAGTATCCCTCCCTATCAGTCCTATAACTGGATACCTCCATCACAACCAATCCCTAACCAGCAATCGTGTGCTGCTCAGCAAAGCGTTTCTGTTGGAAATTCACTGCCGATTGATTTGGAAAATTTGACGTTACCTGATCAGCCCCTGATGGAGATGGATGTGGAGTCACTTTTACGACATGAATTGGCTCAAACAAGAGATCATCAGATTCACTTCGACATCTAAAACTCAGAGTTGGTTAGATTACATCGTTACAATCATGAGAACATGGAATGCATGCGCTTCTCTTGATTCAACCCTCCTAGTTTTTGAGTCGAACAAGACCTCATTCTTTTACAAATTCTGATCTTCAGTATACATTACCATCATCTGCTACCCAGCCTATGTTCTCTTGGCCTAATATGTTGTTTTCTTTTCACATCAACTAGTCTTTATGCAGCTCCTCCCAATTTATTTTGTTCCTTGAAAGTTTATCATCTTCGGCACTCGTGAGCTATATCAGAAGTTGTTGTTAGTAAGCATTTTTCTTTCTAACATTTGTCCATCCAATTGAACTGCAAAACTTCTATCTTAAGAACTGGATGTCGTTTTTGGAATACTGTCAAAGGAATTCAAATCTGTACATAGCTTGTGAGTAACTGCAACTCGGTCTCTATTCCTTGGCTAATCATTTTCCAACTTATTTTTGTAATTAGCAGTAGCAAATTGAAATATTTTTCGAGTTTTTTTGCCATTTCCTTTCTTTTTTCAATAAGCTCTGTTTATAATAATCCGAACATAGTTGCTTTTGGCGGCATCCAGTTCTCAACTTTATCTGGTCAATGATAGGCAGTTTTGCCTCTTGTAGCGCAACCTGTATTCCACGAGTTTCCTTTTAGGATTTTTTTTATGAAGATTTCTATCGATTATATATAGACAACTACCATTGTCCTCCTAGCCCATTTGCACCTCATACAGAAGTTTCACTGTTGTTTTTATTCGTTTCTTCGTTTGTTTGTTTTTATTTTTACTCTCGATTCAAATCACCTCATCTTCCTGGTCCTCAAAAAGAAACCTCGCATTAGCTACCTCACACATCTCTTGTGATTATCTCCTTAGTTGGAAGGGTATAGTCAGTGATCTTCTTATGTCTTCCAATATATCCCATACTTCATTTATCAGGTTGACAAAAGTTTTTTTGTGCTTTCTGTTTTTTTTTTCATTTTTTTTTCATATTTTCCTTTTTTTCATTTAATCAATCAGATAGCCGAAGCATTGGATTGACTGAAATGACATAAGATGATCCTAATCAACTCTCTAGATTATAAATATATATAAATGTATTATAAATTGCTTCTCTTTATGTACATATATTGTAAGTCAACCCCGTCAATTCTGACACCCGTGTATCAACTGGGAAAGCTATTCCAAATCTGAACTGGTCTTTTTAATTTTGAATGGGCTGACACAAAACGGGCTTTGCAAGAAGTATTTCTTTTTCTTTTTTGATGTTAAAATCCGTTTGTACATTATTTTAAAACAAGAAAGGGTCGAGCCTCATACTATTGGTTGTAACTAACCAACAGAGTTGAGCGCTCAACTTATACGGTTTGAACTGAAAGAAGGAATGAAATACTTGAAATGGTTTGGAAGCTTTCCTGTTGTTATCTCTCACGCATTACATTCAGTTATACATTTCGAGTCGTAGACGGCTCTCTCTTTCGTACCTCCAGATTTTACGGTAGAAAACAGTACATTTCTTTTCTTTACGGTCGTGTCGAATATAAGGATCTAGTCTGAGCGAACGCTTCAAACCGTTTGAAACGATGTTCAAAAATAACAAATTGAGTTTTTAAAAAGAAATAAGTCTTTCTCGGCCAAATCACCATTTTACTACCTCGTTCGCTCAGTCTATTTGTTGATGATTATATTTTCTTATACTATGCTCTTCTCAGTCGAGAATATGTTGTTGTCGTATAATATGGAAATATATGTTTAATTATGTCGCCCCGTATGATGTGAACCTCATCACCTCTGTTTTTTCCCCTAATTTCCATTATTTTTTTCTTGTCGACTATAAACTCTTTGATGGAGCAATTTTGTTCGTTTAGCGATTACACTTCTTCATGTATTAATTTCATAATTAAATGAAAATATTAAAAATTAAAAGTTTTTTTTCTTTATTTACAGTATAACGCAAAGAATAGGGGAAATGGAATGAGTGAGTGTAATATTTTTAAACCGTTCTCTGTTGCCTGCACATTTAAAATGAATTGACGACGCTCAATTTTCACGTGATATGTTCACGTAAAAAGCACGTGATTCACGTAGAGAATGAAAGAGAAATCGGTGTTGAAGGCCTTTGAAGAGGTGCATAGAGGAACAGACACGATAGATAGAAGGCAAATATGAGAGTGAAAGAGCCAGAAAGAGAAAGTGAATTGTTGGTTGCAACGACACACGGAAAATGAGGGACCATCATTTAATAAAAAAAACAACTTGAAAGCTACTAGAATAGTAGAATACAATGAGATTAAAGTTAAATCGAATAATATAAGCCTGGAAACCTGTAGAATGCAATGAGTGTTCGGTGAATTTTGCAAAGTAGTATTGTAAACATTTTCATGTGAACGTCTGTTTCTCCTCTCGTATCTTCATTATATTAATTGGCTTTATAACACTATTATAATTTGCTTTCATTTTCGAAAATTAAGAGTATTTGTAATATGTCATGGAGACATCAATGATCTCAATGAGATGATCTCATTTTCTGTTTATTTCTTCTCTTTTTTACAAAATGATTGGCTGGAAATAAAGCTTTTTGATCAGAGAGTTCTCTTGAGATAGCAAATGAAAAAATAGTAGTAACAACTATACTTTGTTATTGTGTTCGTTTGGGGACAGGCATTTTCGTTTTCTGCTTTTTCTTTTTTTTTACTCTCTCATCCTGCTTCCTCTCGTACATTCCGTTCTTTCATGGATCCTCTTACTTTTCGCGTTTTCATCTTTCTCTTCTCTTCTGTAATAAATACTATTTTTCTTTCGACGACTACTACGTTGTTTTCGACATCGTTGTCGACGTCGTCGTCGTGTGATAGTCGTCGCGTGGGAGCTCTCTGCTCCTCTGTGGAACAGAACAGAATCGATGAAGTAATAGAAAGAGGAAAAGTATAAGAGAGAGGGAAAACGAGTTGTTTTTCCCTTTCACCATCATTCAACCAGCCTTCACTCTCTGTATAAACTATACGAGGAAGCTTTCCTGCACTCCCTCTCTCACTTCTTCTCTCTCTCTCTCTTTGTGTGTTCCTTTTCATGTTTTGACTCTCCCTTTCGTTTTCTCTGTCAGAATTTTCCCTCCTTTCTATCTTATAAGTCTAGAAATCTCTTTTTTCCCTGTTTTCTTTCTCCCACCCCTCTGCTCCATCCAGTCCGTCGACAAAAACAACCCTGCGTGTCTACCGCTTCTCTCTGTCAGCTGTATCTTCTGAAGTCTGACGATCTGAATGAGACAAAAAAGATAAAAAGAATAAGAAGAAATGTATATAAACTATAATCAGGATCTGGCCAAAGAACTGTAGTGACAAAAAAATTTTTGGGAGCAAAGGTTATGCAAACTGAAGCAAATCCTTGATAAAGCAAGAAGTACCATTACGAAAATGGAGATTCGGAAGAATGAAAAGATTCATCATAAGGAGTGGCAAAAACAAGGAGAGTTTAACTCTTTCTTTCCATCTACTTTATCTTTTTCCTTCATTCTCTGCAAAATCACATGTTTCCATGCCTCTCTCTCTCTCTCTCTTTCTCGTCTTGCTTGGTTTACAATCTTTCTTTCTTTTTCTCCTCTTCCTTTTTCGCGCCCTCTTCTTTCTCTCTCTTCCTCTTTTTCTCTCTCCCTTTCTCTACACCCTTTCTCTCGCTTTTTCTTTTTATCTCTCTCTCTCTCTCTTTTACTCTCTCTCCTTTCTTGTCTCTCTATAGCAAGTCAGCAGCTTTTATTCGTGAGTGAGGGACCTACCAAAAATTATTTTTTTCCTAAAAAAATCAAAAAATGGCAATAATGAAACAGTTTTGATCAAGAGTATGGTCGGTTGTAGTTTGCATTTGCTCTTTCTCTCTTTTTCTTTTGTCAAGCACGTTTTTTGTTTTCTTTAGTCTGTTTACGATAATAGTTAGGGACTACTGCACCGATCTGTTCTCCTTTGGAATGTTTTCTTTCTCTGAATTTCATGATGTTTTCTTCATCTTTTCATCTCCTATCGATTTTTGTATTTATCTTATTTACTCTTGAAGGAGTGAACATTCGAATAATTCCATATTTTCAAGAAAGCAGGAAGTTGAGACCAGGAGTTGATGACGTTTGATATCCTTTGTTACAAAGCTTTTCCTTTTGCGGACAAACGCACTCATCGTCAGAATCCAGTAGTGATGAAGACATCACAAAAGAACATTTCGGTTGTCGTCATAACGAGGAAGAGGAACATAGTGGAGGAATGCTCGTTTTGCACTTTTTGTTTTTGGTCATTGCCAGAATAAAATAGAGAATACGTGGAAAAAGGAGAGAAAGAAAGAATATGTGAGGGAGAGAGAGAGAGAATGTAAGAGAGAAGGGGTTAAAGAGAATCAGGAGGTGGAGAGGAGAGAGTAGAAGGATGAGGTTAAAATTTCATGAAGAAAAGTGAGGTTATGACGTTTTCATTGTAAGGTCATTGGGCTGAAGATAAACAAATTTCCCGAAATGGCTTGGAAAAGCAATTCTGTGTTGAACTGAATGTTGTCATTACCGTAATTTCGTTTAATACTTATCTTAACAAAATTTATGATCATTTCTGTTAAAAGATTGTTTGATAAGGTGTAAGAATGGTTCGGGCAACGATTTAAACTTTGAAGTTTCTTTTAAACGTTCATTGACTTCGATGATTCGTCTTCAAAGTTTTCTAAGGACGCACACACTGGCTACGCTTGAAGAAAGCTTCGATCTGAAAGAAAAATAAGCTCAAGGCAATATGAACGACGTCGAAAACACGAAGTGCATCTGAAGGGTTTGGAAAATCCTAGCAGCTGCTGTTAAGCTCAACAAATCTTTATGAAGATAAGAGGATTTAATTACTTTTTTTCTCTTTGTTACAAAGATCCAAAAATAAATAGACGAATTCTTCTGGGTCTGTGGAAGTTTTCATGTATTCATTGGGTTGATTATTGATATCAACATCAAAAGATTAACTTCACGGTTGAAAGATGATCATGATCGTTAACGAGAAAGAATGTTCTTCATCATTTTCGTTTCCGATCAAATTTTTCCATGAAAAGACGATATCATCATTTGTTCACAATTTTGGAAACTCTTTGAACCTGTTTATGACTTTAATATCTCCCAGAAGGTTAAATATTCGTTTTTAACCTTTTTTTCTATTTTTAGAGAATATGCCCATAACGAATGCAAATGATGTTTGCACCCGATTAACTTTGGTGGATCGACCGTTTTTATGAGGATTATCTGATATTATTCGATTGTTTCTTGACTTTTATTCTCAATGTACATGTACATGTTTCGTTTCATTTTTTTTTCGAAAAAGAAAAGAGGTTTAATTATGGAAAGTAGGAGAAGTGCACGTACACAAGTGCAGAAAGCAGCAGTAGTACGGGTGATTTGGCTTAAACCGTAGACGTGTGCATGAAAATACTTTGAAACAAAGAACGATATAACCAGTTCAAAGAGTTCTTTATGTCAATTTCAAAATAAATGATTCGACCAAAATCGTTATGATGTTTTAAGTCGAGAAGGTTTTCGTTCTATAAAAAAAAAAGAGAAAATGGAATTTAAATAGAATTATGGCTGTATTATAAATGTCCGCGAGACCAAAAGATCGAACACCGTAATATAAGGCGGCGTTTAGCCAAACTTCGGTAGACTGTTTCCGTTGTGGAAAAAAGTTTTATCAGATAGTTATTGTACGATGACAGCTTCCAGGTATGACTTTGTTCATAACGCTATATATTTTTATATGTTTCAAGATCAAGCTGTTTGGGTATCGGCCGGAAAACCTCAGATGAGACGGCTACGTTTTATTTCAAGAATCGGACCAGATTCATTATGCTCGTTCTGGTCACATTATGCTTATCAATTTGTCAGAGTAATGTCCTGACATTGAATTTCACTATTATCTGCATGGCGGGACCTCCGCTGGATATTACTCCCTATAATCAGTCCGGTAACATACATAGGTCTGGGAATGGTAGCTACTTTGAGGTCTGTTCTTGATCTTTCTCTTGTTCATCCAATTCCTACAGGTAGGGGACTCGGGCCTAGCAGATTATGAGTTAGACATGAGCAATCGTCCTTATGTCTATACAGCCTCGGAAAAAAATATGCTTTTCTCTTTTGTCGCTGTGGGGGCTATGGTAGCCGTGTACCCATGTATGCTTCTTATACAGGTACTGTACTATATCTTCTTGAGAAATTTTGTTGTTTAGCGCTTTGGAAGTCGCAACATTGTTACTATATTTGGTTTCTTTTCTGCATTTTGCACAGCGCTCGTTCCTTTATGTGCTGATCTCGGTTTCGCATGGTTGGTAGTTATCAGATTTTTCCAGGTAACTAGGTAATGTGACATGTCAGTATGTATCTATATTTAAGGGAACTGGCTTATCACCTGGTTTTACCTTAATTGGCATTTTCACTTTACAATGGAGTATGATGAAGCAGAATGCTTTCTTCATTGCAGTTCTCACATGTCTCTTCCAGGTATTTTTTATGTAGCAAATAGTTTTACTGACACTTTTTTTTTCAACAAAACAGATTGGGCCAATCTTTACTATGCCCATAGCTGGCGCTCTATGCACTTCATCATTGGGATGGCAATCCGTTTACTATTTACATGCTATTGTAACCTGTATACTTTACATAATATTCTTATATTTCTACAGGTGAACTATCAGTTGATCTGGAAATTTCAATATTGTTTTTAGAGAACTGCCTGACAGACATCGTCTTGTTTCCGAGAAAGAAATTGATAGAATTAAACGAATGAAGTCAGATACAACTAAGAGAGAACCAGTGCCTCTTCGGGTACAGAGTGATTACACTTTCGTTCACTAACTAAGTTTTTATCAGGCAATGTTAACTTCTCCAGCGATTCTCAGTTGTTGGGCTTCCGGTATTGGTAACTTCATCGGAATACAGCTAACCATGCAATTTTCACCTACTTATCTCAATCGCGTAATGGGTTTCCCTGTGGAGCAAACAGGCTTATTCAGTGCAATTCCACAAGTTTGATTTTGGTCCTAATCATCATTACGGTTTGATTAAGATTGTCACTTTCTGCCTGAAGTTAGTAGCTGGTGTTATGGCTGATAAAATGGTTTGTTGTGCCCCAGTCACTTCGGTCAAAATTTTCAACTCTCTGGCAATTGGTGGCATGGGAATCTTTTTCTTTATCGTAGCTTACGTGCCAACGTAAGTTTCAATGTGTCAGGGTTGAATTGACTGAGTAATTTACAGAACTGAACCTCTTCTTGCTTTAATAGTTCTGATTATTTGTACGAGTATTGTGGGTTTCAATTGTGGAGCGTTTTTCAAAAGTTCAGCGATCGTTGCTGCGTGAGTTTTTTTATTTATTTTAAACCTTTGGAATCTCCGACTCAATCGGTTTTAGGCAACATAACCATTTTGTTATGGGAGTTAACTCGTTCATCAACTGTGCATGTGCCTTACTCGCGCCTGTTATTGTGAATATATTTGTAAAAGATGATACATGGGATGAGTGGTGGTTTGTTACATTTTTATTGCTTCAAATTTTTAAAATCTTTTGAAGGTGGGTATGGGTTGTGCATGGAATTATACTCACTGTTGTTAATATCATATTCCTCGTGTTCGGAAAAGGAGAGCCAGCCGAATGGACGAAAAAGAAAATTCCTGATGATGCGACCGGCAGTACAATCCCGAGAATTCTCGATCCGGTAAGTACAACTAAGTGCTGTAGTCAATTGATTGCGGAAGTTATAGGAAAGTTCGTGCGAAAGAATACAAAACTCTTCATCAGCGAACAAAATTCATCCAGAACCCTTAGCAGTTCCAAAGTAAGCTCAAAATTAGATTGTTTTCCAAATACAAAATCAGTGTAGCGTCGCAGTAAATCATGAGGAAAGTCCTGAAACCATGATGAGGAATGTGAAGGATGTTCACCGTTTTTGAATTATTTATGATTGCAATTGTATATGCTAATGCTTTTGTACAAAATTTTACTTTTTAGTTTCTGAAATTAACACTTTTCATATGCTAATCCTTACTTCTACTGTGATATATTTCGCTTTCGTACTGATTTTTCACATCTTACATTCCAATGGAAGAGTTCGACAAATGATAAGTGGAGGTGATGGGCTTCTTGTAGTTCCATCTTCACTTCTGACAAATTCTTCACAGCTTTTTTTTGTACGATGGAATAAAGTGTTGTAAACACCAATAAGTTAAACAAGATAAGAAAGCAGTGCTCTTGAAAAACTGTAGATCATACTTCTATTCTTTGAGTTTCTTGTCTTCGCTTTCCAAATGGTAGACAGAAGAACATTGTACGTTCATTGGAGCGTAGGCAATAGATTGCAGCGATTGATTATTAATTTCAAATTTTTTTTTGAAATGTTATTAATTCTCCAACTTCTTCGTTGTGACCTCGATTAATAATTTCCCGCATTTGTCGATTCTTCAACGTTCATAGTTCACTTTCCTTCACCTTCTTGGTGCATTTGGCTTGCGTGAAAGCATAAAAGCATGAAACCAATTTAATAGAGTGGGTGACTAACATATTGTAGAGAGCGTGAGTTGGAATGTCGGGAAGCATAAGTGAGACTAGGTTATTTTTGAAATTTGTTGACTACTCGTCTGTTGCTCGTCTCAATATCCAGGTTCTACACGGGTTATTCTGCAAGCTTTTCTTTCTCCTTGGTCAATAATTGAAGAAAACTTCTGAGTGGTTAGTTTTCTCCGTTTCCAAATGTTTTCTAAAAAACGTTTCTATGCGTTCTTTCACTCAGTTGATTAACTATAATTCTTACCATATATTCCATCTTTGTCATCTTTTCGAAGTGAAACCTATGAGAATGTGACCACATTCGTCCCCACCTCTATCGCATTCTTCAAATATGGTTTTCCTATGATTCGATGCTAAGTTTCAAGAAATAGTTATTCGTAGACGAGTGATTTGTATAAAGGGCAAAATGGTCTGGAGAATATGTGGTGATCAACCGTTTCCGTTCACATAAAGAAAAAAAATGAAAATACTCGTTTCTGATTTCCTCATGGAGCCTGCTTCCTAGAAGTTGCGGAATTTCTCGAATGCTTTTTCATTATGAAACAATCTCATTGTACACTAATGTGCCTTGTTGCTAATATATGACAAGCAAACCTTCAATATCATAGACAGAACGAATCTTCTTACCCCCTCTTCTCCCTTCATGAAACAAGTAGAGTTTGTAGTTCAGACTGAGTGAACAGATAACTGTCTCTTTCAGTTATTGACTAACAGTTCAAATCAGATTGAATATTATGATCAACTAAAAAACATATTGAATTTTTGTAGTTTGTTTTCTGCAAATGAAAAATGAAAGAAACTCCTTGCGCGCCCGCGCGATCTACTGGCAAGCGCCAAACAATTTGAACATCCCTTGTCAACCTCTTAACAGAGCCGCCCAGTATTTTTTATTTTGATAGTATAGCATGCTGCAGATTGTCAATCATACACACGTTTGATATTCGAAGCGAGAAGCTTATGTGAGGGGCTTCATCAAATCGATCTCAAGTTTCCTGTAGATAGTTCGTTGTGAGTCTCATAGTGTCCATAGTAACCATGTTTCTTGCCAAATTCTTCAGTTTTTGTTTTCTGTGTCAAATTCTTCAATTGTTCAGCATTCTTTTTTATTAGTTTCTTTCGTTCAACTGTAATGGTTCGAAAAAGGCTTGTAGCTCATCCCCTTTCGTCATCCTTGTGAGGGGAGAATCTGACAAGAAGATCGTCTTGGTGTCACCCCTGAATATAAGACTAGTTTGTGAATATTCAAGCTTTGGTAACATCAGATCTTCACAGTTTGTTTTCTTGACCTGCTAATTGAAAAAAAACTGCTCGCACACTACCTACCACTGCCAACAAGCACGAACGGTTCCCAACATGCATTGTTCGCTCATATTTCACCAATTGCTTCCTCAGATGTTTGATAACGTTAAACCCAATGTCACATTACTAATGTTTCGCAAATAAATTCTATTGGAGATATCAGACCGGGTTAACCAATCATGCTCGAGTTCCTCTGCATCAAGGGTTGATTAACATCGTATCGATGAGTATCGTGATATATCCTTGTTTGTCTATCCATTTTATCAAGTTTCTTCATTAGTGGTTAGTATAGCTTAGCATAGATTGTTCCTCATATTGAACTGTTCGTTTTTCGTCTTCTCATTCTGAACAACTTTATGTTTGCAGTAGGTGCGTTGCCATTCTAATCAACTTGTGTCATTCTTATTCATGTGTGGGTTCTCCGTACACCTTCTCATTTATCGGTTGTCTGTACACTGATCAGATGAGAGACTGATGATCATCAAAACGTTCAAGGTTTTTTTAAGAACTTCGGTAGAATTAACATATTTATTTAAGAATAGCACCATGTACAGTATGCAGAGGAGGAGGATTCCCTCCTAATGTACTCGGAGGCCACAGAGGGCCAAGTACGTTAGGGGAAGAGGAGGGGAAGGTGCAATCACCTTCTTCTCCTACAGAGGGGGAGGGAATTCGTTTCCTCCTCCTGATGGGTTGGGGGGATTTAAAAATCCCCCCTGGAGAGGAGGGAGAACTCTCCATCCCTCTCTTAAAGAGGGTAAGAGGTGTTCTCCTTCCTCATGGTGGGGAACGGGAATACTCAATGTAGACAGGCGGGC